TTATTACTAGTATTTAGTGACAGCATGTGGATATATCAAATTTCCAAAAAAAACAAAAGATCTGTAAATAATATATATATATTTTTATATACTATAAATTTCTTTTTTTTTTTCTACCCCTTAATTTATTTAATTTTAGCGTATGATATGTATGATATATGATTTCATTAATTTACATTTAATAAATCATTTCATTTATGCAATATTTTTTTTTTTGCATTCTTTTAATTTCTTTAAATCCTCAAATTAGCGCGTATTTTGAAATTCTTATTCTGTTGAATTGTTGATCCATAACATTTCGGCACTAAATTATGCCTATCACATAATGAAATGATGTTCAATCGATATACTTAAAATAATTATCATGTAATCAATCAATTAATATTGTATAAAAATTTTAGCCAATTAAATTATAATTAATCGATTTAAAGTTACGTCATTTTATCATTCTCCCACGTTTTAAGATTTTTTTTTTTAAAAGTTCTTTCTTTTTAAATTAAGGAGTTACAATTTCTTTTAAAAAAAAAAAAATTTCAAATGATTAACAGCTGAAAAGTCACCTTAAAAAGGTTTATCTATATTATCATGCTTTCATTATCATTAAAAAAAGTAATATTAAATTTTATTTTTTATCTTTTAATTTATTTAAACTTTTTTTTTAAAGGGCCTTGAAAATCCACATCACTTAAAATGATTGCTCTTTTTTTTAAAAAAAAAAATGTTTCAAACATAATGAATGAATGAATGAATGAATTCTCATGGTTTTAGATAGATATCGAATTATTAGTTATTACTAATTGTAATACATGTTTCATATGTTTTTAATATTTAATGTTCATGATATCAATTGATTAAACCCTTTTGTTTCGTATCAAATGAACCCCTAAACCATGCAGAAAGGTAAAATCATGAGATATATATTTATTGATCTTAAAATGATTAGAATTATTCGATATTAAAGTTTTAGGCCTTTTTTAGATAACCACTTGAATATGATACAGAAAAATAAATCGGATACTTTGGATTATAAAACTTAAAAAAAATTGCCATTATAATGGGTTCAATTTAATTAATAATTACACCCTACTCGATCATGTAAGCATTACGTAACACGAATATAATCATGAATTAATTAAATTATATCTGGTGTTTTTTTTTCAGCCCGCAGAACAATATTTAATAAAAAATACTAGTATTTCTCCTATTCTATATCTAATGCATTAACTATAACTCCATCAGCTAACATTACCCCATATGTGAACTGCAGGTTGATCATTAAATAAATTTCAGCCACTTTATTCATTTTTATTCATTTTTATTTTGGTTGGTTCACTTACAAATAAATAAATGTTTCACCTCCAGGGTCGTTTCACTGACAAACGTTTCACTCCCAGGGTAATTCACCGACAATGATAGTTGCTCATTTTGTCAATGCAATACTATTTTTAATTTTTTTAATTTTAAATATTTTATTTTATATATTTATTTAACTATAAAGTACAATGAATAGTCGATAATCCATGAAAATTTACAAGCTATACTCCTTATAATGTGATAAATAAATCATTAAAAGTTATACAATTACTATTAATGTATTATTTATTAAGTATTTAAAAGGTTAAGCAGACTAATTCTGATTGATTAGATAAAGATAAATTCGAAAAGAATACAAATAAAATATATTTATACAAAAAAGATGTAAAAAGTTGATATCAGTTTTGATTATTATAATACAAAAAAATTATTTTAACTGTGCATTAAAAGAAAAAAGAAAAATATTTTTTATATTTTATAGTAAATTAAAATATAATTCCAATTAAATATAAGTATAACATTTACTCAGTAAAGAAAAATAAACTATTATAAAAAATACTTTTAAGAATTAAGTTAAAATGATTGTAAATTATATTATAAATTATATACAATTCCATTAAAAAAATTAATAACTTCAATTATTATAAACTGTTATTTAAACTTGAACTTTTTCATACTACTAAAATTATTTTAAACTATAATTAAAATCCCAAATTCAATTATGACATTCCAAATTATTTTAGCATTCTATATATAATCTCAAATTCAATTATGACATTCCAAATTATTTTAGCATTCTATATAATAAACTTCAAATTATTTAAGCATTCTACATAATAAACTTCAAATTCAATTATGGTATTCCAAATTATTTTAGCATTTTATATAATAAATCCAGTTGCATGTGACTTCATAGTCTATCAGTAATTTCATAATATAATAGTAATTTCATAGTCTGTTAGCAACTTCATAATATAATGGTAACTTCATAATATAATAGTAACTTTATAGCCTATCAATAACTTTATAATATAATGGTTTTATAACCTAATTACATAATCTGATGGTAATTTTATAACCTAATATCATGATCTGATTGTAACTTTATGATCTATTCAGTTTATTCTTTGAGTAGCTTCTTTGCATTTATAATATTATTTTAATCTTTTTCTGTATAATATGATAGTGATTTCATAATCTAATGGTGACTGGTAATGCTTTAATTTAATGATGATGTTATAATCTAATAGTGACTGCTTTCTTCTTGTTCTTAATCTGTTTACATAATAAATTCTATATTGCTAGTACTGGTTTTTCAGTTTTCTTTAAATGTCTAGTTTTATAATAAAAGTGCTGGCCTCTATACTAATTTGATAGTTTGATTACCAGTTCTATGTTAAGAATATGTATCTATTTGGTTGCTTTTAAAATGTCAAAATATTATAAAAAAGAATGACAGGTGGTGCAGTAATTTGATGTAAATATGCAATTAATTTTAATCAGCATTATAACATAATTTCTGGCTAATCTTTAGGACATATAATTTGAAAATAATCCAAGTTGATGTTATAGTAGTAACTTGTTAATATCTAAAACTAGTGATACCTGGCTAAACTTTTTTTGCCAAAAATTTTGGTTTCGTCACCAGCTAGTTTCAGTTTCGTTATTGACTAAAGTTGCTTGCCGAAACCTTCTTAATAACTGCCGAAACCTATACGGAAAATGGCGAAACTATATTAAATCATATTAAAAATCCTGCCAAAACTATAGTAAACATATAGTAAAATCTTGCCGAAATTTATCGCAGGATTTTGGAGAGGTTTTGGCAAGCAACCTTATCATTGACTAAACTATATAGTAATATTTTTTAAGTTTAAATTTTATTTATATAAAATTATAATTTTATTATAAAAATATATTAAATTATATTATACATAAAATAGTTTTATAAATTCCTTTAAAAAATATTATATTTTAATATAAATTTATTATTATTTTTTTTTTATAAGTAATTATTATAATTAAAAATCCATGGAAATCTATAAAAAATCTATGGAAATACTATGGAATATTGAATTTTGGCATTTTGTCTTTTAATTTTAAATGTCTAAACTATTTCAGTTTAGTCAAATGACTAAATATTTTGGTTTCACCCAGGATCTCTAGTCTTAGTAGCTATAAATGTTTATAAAAATATAATAAAAATATCATATAAAAGATATATTTTCAAACAATAAGTATTAGTTATTTACTAATCTAGTAGTATATANTATTATTTTTTTATAAGTAATTATTATAATTAAAAATCCATGGAAATCTATAAAAAATCTATGGAAATACTATGGAATATTGAATTTTGGCATTTTGTCTTTTAATTTTAAATGTCTAAACTATTTCGGTTTAGTCAAATGACTAAATATTTTGGTTTCACCCAAGATCTCTACCTAAAACTCTTCTAAAACTCTTCTGAAATTGTTATAAAACTAATAAGAAGTCAAAGAAGTTCTATTAGTTTACCAGTTTTAAGCCAGCTTGAATATTAAAATATTATGCTAAAATTCTGATTAGAATTATGAAACAATGCTGATTGAAATTAAACAAAATTTTATTACACCTTATTGCATAAATTATATTCCTTACCAGTTCTGAGTACTTTCTTATCACTTTCAAGTAACTTTCAAGTAACTTTGGTTTAGTGATCAGTTAATTAGAGAATCAGAGATATAATAAGCATTATTATAACCAGTTTTTTTGATTATCAGGAAGTACACCATTTGTGTTCCATTTACCTTCTTTTAGTTGGCAGTATAAGTATACCAATTCATATCTCAATATTTAAAATATTAGAACATATTTACATTGGTATTTTTGGCATATTTTCAGTTGTATTAAGACACAAAATAAGGCAGAACTAAAATGTAAAATAAGACAGATTTTTATATGTACCATTTGCAATTCTGCTCTAGAAAAAAATTAGAAAATTTACTGAATTACTTCTTAGAGTAGAGTTTGTTATATAAAAAAGTATTCTTTTTTTATTTTAACATATTCCTATATTATCTATTTTAAATGTTTTAGTACAGTCAACTCTTGTTATAACGAACCTTAAATTCCAGACCTCAACTTCACTATAGGACTATAGTGAAGATTTTAAGAGATTTGATTGGTTAATTCATTATAACAAGGGGAAATTTATTATAGTTGTCTAAAAAATTCACTATATCAAGAGTTCGCTATATCAAGGTTTGACTGTATTCTAATAAAAATAAAGTTATATAAAAAAAATCATGTATTTTTAAAATAAATTTTGTTTTAAAGAATCAGTTCTAGTTCCTATTCTAATTATTTTAGAAACTTGAACAGGAACTAGAATAAATTTTAATAAAAACTCTGAAAATTATAAACTTATCTATAACAAATCTGAGTTTAAAAATTTTGATAAAATAATGCCAATTTTTAGGAAAAAAGCTTCAGTTTTTTATTTAATTTAACTTGTTCTTTTATATTACGTTTTAGTTATTCTAATTGTCCTAATTAAAAGTAAAGTTCTTGAAAAATTTTCAAAACTTTTTCTATGATATACTTTTGATATATATATGTATAAGATAAATATAATATATGCCAATATGCCTATTAGCAGTAATATTCTCTAGAAGCACTTTAGAACCTTTTATCTTTCAATTCTAATGTCTATTCCAATTTCAATAGATTTTTATTGGAAGTTTGAAAGCACCTTAATTACGTAAAATATTTTTATCTAATAATATTTATTATACAAAAAATAAAGTTTTATTAATACTTTAGAAATTTACATATTTAACATTTTATTTAAGTAATCAGAAACATTTAAAGACGAACTAAATAAACTTTTAAACTCCTATTTTGCTCTTTTATCTATTATTAGATACAGTTTACCCTTCCTATAGCAAATTTTGATATAATGAATCATGTGACTCGTAGCCAATAAAATATATCAATTTTTCTCGCTATAACAAAGTCCAATCAAATTCTTCAAATTCTTCGTTAATTTGCTATAATAAATTTAAGGTGTAGAACAGTTCCTTCACTATATCAAGGGTAGACTGTGCATATATTCACTTAGAGCTCCAAAATGACTCATATAAACTCGTATTTTTGACTCGCATAATTGTAAATTTTTGTTTAATTATATTCTAACTTAATAAAAAGTACTTTAAAATTAAGGTTTTTGACTCGTGACTCGACTCAACTCGACTCATTAGGAGCTCTATATTCACTTAAAAGATCACCTTCTGAATTATTATTTAAATTTTCTTTTAATGCCTTTTTCTCCTCTATTCATGTTATTTTTTCTTTTATTAACCTTTCTTCCAATTCATTTAATTTCCATTTTCAATATTCTAAATTAATATATATATTAGTATTATCTTCTTCAATATTTTCAATATTTTTAGAAATTTCAAAATCTTCAACTTCAAGATCTCCAACTTTAGTTTCAACATTCAGATTCAGAAATTATGCCTTATTTTACTATAACTTTCTTTCTTCTAATGAAAAATTAATAAATATACAAAATTAATTTATTGTCAACACTTTATCATTCTATTAAAGATAAAAAAATTATTTTCAATTGATAAAGATAAAATTTCCAATCATTAAGTCCTGATCATTGATCTAAAATCCTAAACATTATATATAATACTGAGATTTAATTTTGTATAGACTTACTATATAATTTTCTGATAAGTCATATATTTGAATTTGTATAACCAATTGGTAATTATTTAATAAATCAAAATTTTGTTTGTATAATAATAATGATTTTTAAAGCAAGTTAGATTTTATTTTATATAAAATATTATATAAATAAATAAATATATATATATGTATATATAAAGCAATATAGGTAGTGAAAAAATGAGCCAAAAGGAATGCAAAAAGTAATACCAATACAGATTGAATAGTTCTGGTAGTGGTGAATCTGACCAAGAATCTTTCAACTTCAAGCAAAACTCTGAACAAAAAGAATTTTCTGACTCTGATCAAAGTTCTTCTGGTTCTGAACGAAGACTTTCCAAATCTGATCAAAGATTTTCTAAATCTGATCGAAGACCTTCTAAATTTAAGCAAAGATTTTCCAAATCTGATCGAAGTTCTTTAAAACCTGAACAAAAGTCCAAATCTCGACAAAGAACTTCTACTCATCAACAATCACATAAGAGGACACAAAAATATTTTAATGTTAAAGACATGCCTAAAAGCTTTAAGGAAGCTTTGAGAGTAAGTGAATTTTATCTGAATTTTTAATTTATAAATTTCATTGATACAATAATATATTATTAATAATACATTTAGAGAGAAGTATTTTGGATAATTAAAAGAATTTCAACCAAAGGTTAGCTAGACCTGAACAGTACATTTGATAAATAAATAACGTGATCTTGTAACTGGTATGATCGTTCTAATAGTGATGTCAGCTTTAGATTTTAATACATTCTCAGTCATAAAAACTATTGTATATGATTTGATACATACTCAACACAAATATCAACACGAAGAACATCTGAATAAATCACGAATAATGTCTTTTCAAGATAAACAAGCATGATGGAAGCATTTGAATAGTCGCAGAAATGATATAAATATCAAATCATCAGATATTAACTTAATTTATTTAGTCAATAATTAAGTGTTCTTTTCATCATTGATTATAGAAATAGTTGACAAGAGCCAGAATGATAAATAATTTATAAGCAGTAAATGATTCTTTGATTAGAAAGTTTAAAGAATATGAACTTTGGTAAATTAAAAAAAATTCTGCATTTTATTCACTGGAGATTTCTAAGACAGATACTGAAGATCCTGATAGAAAACACAAGATTGCTGTTAAAAAACTAAATTGGCGTTCATCAACTGTAAGATTATTAAATAATTAATATTTGACATTAGTTAGCATCATATACTAATATTATATATCATATTAGCTTCAACTATTTTTAAGAAGCTTTATTGATCGATTATTTACAGAAACTTCTAAGGTTCTAAAAAAATGAGTCTGTATTTATGATGATAATTTTTATGAAGAGGAGCAAACTGCACCATTTCATGCACCAAAATGGACAATTGGAAATTATCAAGGATATCTGAAGGTCAAAGTTGAGAAGGTAAGACGAATAGTTGTGAAGTCTGGTGGAGGTGTTAAGTGGTGTACAGTGACATTTGGCAGTGTATAACATAATAGATGTGAAGCGTACTCAGGTGATAAATAGTATCTCAGCCCACTCTGAATCACGTATTTGGCCCGTCGTGTTATTTATCACTTGAGTAAACTGTCACATAGAGGATCGTACTCCACTCATCATCCCCACCAGACTTCACAACTCTCAAGTTGAGAGGGCACAGGGACGATGATTTTATGCTATCACATAATATCACATTAAACGCATAATTATGCAATAAATGCATAATTTAAGTTGATCGCGTCATAAAATCACATAATTTAATTTATCACATATCAGAATGCATAATCCGCAGTTATCTGCAGTATAAAATTTACTACGGATTATCATTTCGATAATTCGATCTTTTTTTTCTTTCGCAATGTCAAAAAAACCAAAAACTGTATCAGTTCATACCAGATGTAATGAATATAAAGATATTTTCCGAGTTGATGACAGCATTCTTTTTTGCAATTATTGCAACATTTCTGTAGATTGGAAGCGTAAATCTACTGTAGATAATCATTGTAAAAGCCAGAAACACATTTCTAACGTAAAAAGTCAAGAAAAAACCCAAAATAATACACAACTTACTCTTTCATCTACTCAGGCAGCTGCTGAAGCAAAAAAGCAACTTATTGAAGACCTTATAGAGGCATTTGCAACAGCAGACATTCCTCTTGAAAAGGTCAATTCTTTACTTTCATTTTTTAAAAAATACATTAAAAACGGAAGGTCTATTCCTCAAGCTCCTACCCTTAGACAAAATTATTTGCCTAACGTTTTTGACAAACACTTTCAGTCACTTAAACTACTTTTTGATTCAAAACCAGTGGCTATAATTATGGATGAAACCACTGATGACTGTGCTCGAAGTGTTGTCAACACCATTTTTTGTTATCGCAATGAAACAAAACTAGTTTCGGTTGACTTTCTTGAACGTGTGAATAATACCACAATGGGGCAAGTTCTCACTACTATTCTTGCTCATTTTAATATATCCTTCAACTTGCCTCGCCTATTTCTTACGGACTCAGCAGCATACATGAAAAAATGCCATAGTGAAGTCCTATCTCCACTAATGCCTCAATTAACGCATGTGCCATGTTGTGCACATATTATAAATCTTATCGGGTATGTATAATTTATTTCTATTTATAAAGAGGGGGCAAATTTCACGGCATAGCATTTAATATTTTTGTATTTTTTTTTTTCTTTTTTCAATTATTTTGTATTTTAATTTTCATGTTCCAAGTATTTATATAATCTAATATGAAAAAGTTTTAATTAATAAAAACAAATTGGTTTTCCTCTACTATATATTAAAAATTAAAGGGATATGTGGAGAACATTACCTCAGTTTAATATTTTAAAGTCTTTTTTGGATAAAATTAAAGAGGTTTTCGTTAATTCTCCTGCCCGAAGAGGTAGATATTTGGCTTATTTGAAAATGCATGGAATTTTCTCACCATGCAAAATTCCTTTGTATAACAAAACACGATGGAACTCTTGGTTTCGGATGGTTTCATATGCAAAGGATCATATTGTCTATTGGCCCTCTTTTTTTAAAGAAGAATTCAATAATGATAAAAAACACAACACTTTGGCTGCTATTAATTCTTGCTTGGAAAATGAACAAGAATTAGGAATAATCACAATCTACCTTAATTTCATTACTTCCTATGCTAAAGAATTTGTTCAGGATCTTGATTTTTTCCAACAATTAAAAAAACCAGTTTTTCCTTTTGTAGAATTACGCCTTCAACAGCTTACTGCATATATTGAAACATATAGGAATTCAGATGATTTTGGTCTTTCTTTAGAAAACTTGATTAATAGTCTCCGATTTAATACACATGAATTCTATTCCATTTTTCGAGCAGCATTTGAGGCAGCTTATGCCAAGTTTGCTGCACACATTCCTAATCACCCAGCTCGGCCACTTTTCCATGCATGCCAAGTATTTGACCCCAAATTTATTCATTCTGGAGATGTTTTACGAAAAAATATTCGGCAATATAACAAAATTAAAGAATTTGATAATCCATCAGATGAATTAATACGAGAATGGGGAATTTATTGTGGATTAGACAATGAACTTTTGGGCGAAATGGAATTGGATCAATATTGGGTAGATAAGGCAACACAACTGCCAATCCTTTCTAATATCGCAATGGATTACATCTGGTTGCCGATTTCAAGTTGTACCGTTGAACGAAGCTTTTCTATGTATAATTCTCTATTAGACAGTGATCGTCAAAACTTGTCTCAAGATTCTCTTAAAAGATTAAATATGATATATTTTAATGGTGTTAAAATTTAGGAATTAAGACTTAGGGAACGGGAATTTAGATTTATGCAATATCACTTTTAAATAAAATAAATGAAATTTTAATTCAATTTACTAATATTTTTATTTATAATAACTTAATTTACACGATTTATTTTCAGTTTTTACTATAATAAAACTGCGCATAATTTTACATAATTACAAATTTTGGCGCATAATTTATGCATAATTGTAAAAAATACGCATTCCTTAAAATGCATATTTGGCTTTTGTTGCATACATAATTCATGATTTATTACCGCATAAAATCATCGTCCCTGAGAGGGCATGCAAGTCTGATGTTCTTCCAACTGAAGACCATTCAAATCAGAAATAAATATGATCTGTTGAATAGTATGTATTATACATATATATAATATATATATTTTTTTAATTTTGCGAATATAATTATCCTAAATAGCTTTATAATTTAATAATAATGTTTAGATAGTTAATATTTGATGTATTAATATAAAATAGCATATAATGATACAAATAAATCTAATAATTTATTAATTAAAATTAAATTCATTGATAGCAATCAGTCATTATTCAGTTTCATTTATTAATAAATCATTCTGCCCGATTGTAATACTAATTTTACATTACATAACAATCAGCTATACTTGATTGCTTAATATTCTAGTTTTATTATAATCTGATTTAAGCCAGTTTATTTCTGATTGTAAATTCCCGATCAATACATATTACATGCTGATTGCCACTACCACATAATTACAATCGGCACTTATAAATATAACTTAATATTTTCTAACTGGAACATGATCAGGGCAAAATAAGTAAGACTATTGGTACCTAATTGGAAACTGATTTGTCATTTTTCAACCTGTGTAAAGAATAAGGATAAGCATATTATATTTTAAAATAATGCAATTTAATTAAAGAATAAGGATAAATAATTATATTAGAATCAATAAATTTTAAGGACTTTGTTAATTAAATTTATTACATTAGATTAAAGCTTGGACTTGTACTTATGTAACTTGAGTTGATTCGAGTTGAACTTGCATTTGAGTTAGAAATTTCTTGATTCAAGTCAACCAGAATTATGTGGTTGATAGTATTAGCTGAACCCTATTTGTAATTCCTGCTGGCACTATGACTATAACGGTCTGGATAAAATTATGGATAAGTTTTTTGGCCTGCATTTTAACTTTAACTCAAATTAATTCGAGTTAACTTGAGTACTCTTTGAGTTAAAAAAATTCTTGACTTGTTTTACTCAAGTTGACTCATCCTAACTCGAGTCCAAAAGATCAATAAATTTTAAGAACTGCGTTAATTAAATTTATTATATCAAAACAAAAAAAAAATTAAGAACTAAATTTTAAGAATTGCGTTACAAAAAAAAATTAAGAATTGCATTAATTAAATTTATTACATTAAAATAAAAACTGTATTTATTTTATTACAAATACTTTAATTATGTAAAATGTTATTATGTTCATCAGTTCATATATTAAACATTATAATGAATTTCAAAATTAGTATAAATATAATAAAATTTGAAGTATATAGGATTTTTTTTTGCAATTCAAAATCAAATTGTATTTTAATTTTCAAATTGTATTTAATTTTCAAGTTATAAAAAAATTATATAAATAAAAAATGGTAGCTTTAGTATCTTATAATCTATCATTACCACTAGTATTCCAATAGATGATTAACACTGTTAAGCAATTAATTATAGAACGAAAAAATTTGCATAAGCCATTCAAAAGAATTGCAAACTGTTACCATGCAAATACTTAAATAATAATATCAAATAGAATATTTGCTGCAACTGAATTTATAGCAACACCTTGGTAATAATACACTACAAAATGAAATGCGCTTAAAAGAAATTATGAAAATCTTAATAAGATAATAAATAATAATGATAATGACATTCTTATTGCAAGTCCTAATAGTTTTGATAGAGTATATTTCACTGATATAAATAATGAATTTTGATTACAAACTGGTAATTATTATTAATTATTATTTTAAATTAATTTTATTTAGGCAATTCATTCAATTTATTAATATTTTTATTGGATTTTAGATCTGTTTAAATAAAAGTATTGATGGCAGTATCGATAGCAATATGCTGTGCATGATTGATGTCAATATGAATATAGATTGTAAAAGGAAAAAAGAAAGTTACAATCTAGGTCTCAATTAAAAAGTAGAGATAAAAGTAAAAATAGAAGACAAGGCAGAAATAGAGATAGAAAATAAAATAGAAATAAAGATAAAAGAAGAAATAGAAATAAGTCCTCACATAAAAGATACAAATATTAAATTTTAATTTTATTATTATATTATTAATTATATATTTTATTAGTTTAATTAGGAAATAAAAAATAAACTTTTAAATATTATAAAATTAAAATAAAGAAAAAAGTAATTTTAAATATTTACATATAAAAAATCATATTATCTTTATTTTTATAAGTTGTTTAAATGCTAAAACTCTAATTAAATCATATAGAAAGTATTGCTGAAACGTCAAAACAGGTTTGGCAAGTTACAACAAAATCTAGAAATATATATAAAAAGATCAGGTTTGAGTTTATGTATTTTGAACTAAAAAAATTATGAAAATTTTTTCTTTTTTAGATTATTTTTGATAATGCTGATCAGAATTTTATTTCCTATTAGCTAATATTATCATAATTCTGGTTCTGAAAAAATGCGTATAGCTCATAGTAATAAAAATTTTTCATTACCTGACCCCTATATATATATTTCTGGATCCTGTTACAGCAGTTTTGTGATTTTGATAAGGTTTGCAATTTTTGGCATTTCTTGATAATTTTGTGAAACTAGTTTTGGTAATTTTATATACATTATTTTGCCAAAACTCTTTAGTTTTATACACATTCTGCCAAAATTCTTTAGTTTTGTTAATTAATATTGAATGAATAATAGAATCTGATTTCATAGATGCCAGCCTTTTTCTCACCTCCTACACCTGCAACTTCAGGTCCTAAATTTTGCTTCATAATTTCTTATTTGTATTAATCTGCTCTTTATATTTCTTTTTTATATTTATTATAAATTTCTCAAAGGTTCATCTATTATAATCAAACAAGTGTTAGGTCAATACTTTAAGCTCATTTACAACTTAATGATTATTCTCTTTTTTATGATTATACTTTAGCATCTTTGGCTAAATAATATTAATAGTTTGAGTCCTATTATCTGCAATATAATATATAGCTGATAATACTGAAAATATATTACATTCTAGCCAGCTTTGAGGGTACAATATTTTTTCCTGAACCATATATTTGTGTTTCCTATTTAACGAATTCTCATAAACTTCTAATTTATTAGATATGACTCAATTTGATTAGATTTCCCAGAAATCATTTTTAATGGAACAGGATTTTTAAAGTGATTCAGAAGACTTTGATATTCTCTTTTGACCAGACTATCTGAAAGTCTGTCAGTTATATGTTTATAGTTAGAATGAAACATTGAATTTTGCACAAAAAAAAGTTTGCATGTAAGAAATAAACTCAAGACAATATTGGAAAAAATATCTGAAAATATATTTTTCCTGGCCAGAATAGATCCACAAAAAGTTGAGTATCTGAGCAAATTTTCCCAACACTGCCAAAGCCATAGCATTGAAAGCTTTTATTTTACTAATAAATTTTGCTGACTTCAGGTCGGGAAAAATCACATGCACATGAACAATTGCTCACGCTGATCATTTTTGCCAGCCAGCATTAATACAGGATCACAGTTTTCATGGTACAGATAATAAATTTTTTATTAATTCATTTTGCAATTGCTTATCTTCCAATTTCACAATTCTGGCAACATTTTCAGCCTTAATTTTATTGTTCTTGGCCTAAAGCTCGATAATATGTTGTTTTGATGAATCGATCTTGCTGGAATCATCTATTTCAGATTGCATGCTTAAGCAAAATTTGCCAAGAAACATTTTTATTATCCAATACATATCAACCAACACGAATGTAAAAAAATAATAATCAGCCACCAGGGCACTTTATTGATACAGGAAAAATAAAATACATGATGTTTGGGATACAAACTAATTCTAATTATCAGAAGATACCATAGAACTACTACTTCATTTTTAGAATATTTCATATAAGTAAAAATGTCTCTATTAACTGTAACACTCCTTCCCCATCGGTTGGCTGTACTGGAATTATAGAACGTAAGCAAAAAAGCTGATGGGCAACATCTGTATCTTTAATAAGAACGTTAAGGTGCATCATTTCCCCAGCAACTTGGATTCCAAGAATTCCAAACTCATTTTTCTCAGCTGGCACCCACAACAGTTCCTCTGCATCATCATGGTGCCGGGTAGTAATATTAATTGATTGGATCAACTATAGTCAGACCAGGTATTTCCATATACTCTGATGTGTGTATGACACTTTTGCATGCCGGACAATTAACTTCAGAATCAGTATAGGTTCACGTGCAGATCACTTTGGAAAGAATAAAAGAGTACAGCAAATGTCCTCACGTAAAGTGCATATTTTTTATATACATTTTCTAATGTACAGTATACGCAAGTTTTCCGGTGCATCACACGAGTAAACAGATACAAATGCAAACCTAGCTTAAATGCATTACGCAGAATGAAATTGTAACATGATGAACTAATTTTGAATCATAATTAGAACCTAAAAATTAAAACCGTAATTGACAAAATCGATGCCGATTTCGACTCTTTGAAACCATTTCTTTAAAACTTGGTGTTTGAAGGGTGCTTCGCCTGCTTGGTTCTTTATTTTCAGTGGAAACAATACAATTATCCCAAAAAATATTAGATACGATGAGAAGCGTATCAAGACTGGTGAGGAAGGCGGGAACCTCTTCAAGTGACATTGGCACATCAACTTGACCAACTTCCACTGTAATATATAATGCGTCACACAAAAAAGGGTGGTGAGGTAGAATGTAATGTGTTGCCCTATTGAGTACAGAGCACTTGTTCAATAATGAGTGTTCCGAAAAAGTTTACTATTGAAAAACTTACCAACGACCTGGAAGCCGAGCATACAATTCATGTTGTGAAAATCAATTGCGTCCTTATTAAGCACCGCTATCCGGATGAGATCAGTGCATTAACGGACAATGTTGTTTAGGCTTCAACAAGAGAACGTGTGATAAGGATCTATATATAGTATTAAGATAACTGCAATTAGTTCCGCAGTAATCCAGTAGATGAAAAAGTTGAAAGCATACAATATTTGTTGCGTGTGACTTACAACAAATAGACCTTCTCTATTTGCCAGTTCCAGTGATTTTTCTTTAAATATATGCCATTTTTCGGAGACATCGATGTCATTTAATATCCATCTGGACTCTTTTCGAGGTAAAGATCCCAATTGCAATTCCATAACATCATTGATAATGGCTGGGCAATTAACAAGTCCATTATCTGAAAATGAGTCTGATTCATGGTTGTCACTAGATACGAGCTCTAATTCTGGCTGTGACGGGAGTGGAATGTCTCGACGATATTCGCTCTTGGACACCTGATTTTATCTAGAAATGAGATGGAAAGGCAAACGTGACAAAAGTTATTTTATTAATATCATCAGCTGGGTCTCCGTCCATAAAGCATAGATCATCAACATCATCTGTCATGAAGATGTCATCAACATCATCTGTCATGAAGATGTCATCTACCTCATCTTTCTCTAAGAAGAATGGATTATTGATACGATCGACGAGCGTTGGAGGCTCTACCGGTGAATTCTGCTTTGGAATATCATCCGATAGCTCAACAGCAGGCGGTTCCTCATCGATTTTTGTACGTTTCACTTTATCTTTGACCTAAAATAAAAATTGGAATAAATTGTAGTTAAGTTTGATTTCTCATCTTATCGAGTCGACAAAAGGCCTAACATCAGACAACCGGACTCACTTCTTTTGCCTCTTTAACACCTAATTGTTTGCGATTCTCAAAGGATCGTTTATTCCCCTGAATATTATTACCAACACAACCGATCTGTACTCCGTCACAGGATAAAAATGTACTGTTAACTTTCATATTTTCGTGTTTTGTAAAATTGCGACGTTTCATCCAAAAATTGTCGATTAGTCCCGTTTTCATAGATTAAGAAAATAAAATTTACATATTAATAAGGGTTCCCAAAAAAAAGGTGTAAATTAGCAAGTCACAAATTAGTATGCCACAAGCTGGCTACAGCGGAGACGCAGTCCATAACCATGCGAAGACGCAGTTCCATGGGTAGCTGTAGTATTGGAGAGACGAAATATGGAGACAAAGGTGGGTGGCTACTGAATGTGGCCCATTAATCTACAGTTATTATAGCTTATGAAAATATATTGACCTTGATTGCTTCTCTAGACGTATCGCATTTTCCTTTTCCTCCTTTGTGCCTTTTGACTTTATAATTTCTAACTGTTTATGAAAACTTCTTGTTAGAGTCGCCTTGTCTAAACCCAAATTGCTATTTTCCCACGCTTCATGGTATCGAACAGCATCCCAAATGTGACAAGGAGTGCTCAAAAAGTATTCAAAACCAGGCTCGCTGAAATCGGTTATCATGAAAAAAAAATTGCTTGAAAACTGCTTTTTATATTCATATTCGATATCAATATTTCCATAAGTAGTAAAAGTGCATTTGAAAAATTTTCGATAATTATCAAAAATCAGTATGATCTAAGCACATAGCAAAACTTTATTAATTTTTCAGTGAAAAAAATGCTAGAGAGGCGAATGAAATATATGATGCTATCAAAGAGAGAGGGAGTACGCGGATCCATCTCCGGTACGATACTGCGCAAAGTTTTAAGAATTCGGCGCGTATAAGATAAATTTTTGATGCACTGTGCCAGACTTTTGCTGTGCCGTTGCATGTGACGAGATTCATGTGAATAATTTCACTGCGCCTATTATACGCGTGATGATTGCCAAAGATTTTCTTGGTGAAGATCAAAATGCCGATATAACAAGAAGAGTAATATGACCATTTTATTTTGGAACATCTATAGAGGCGGAAAAATCGATTAACATTGTGATGACATGTTTCAAGAAACTAGTTGAGCAATAAACTAACTTACTTATTATTTACTTTGCGGAATATACGGGTTCATTTGATTGCAAATATTGATGATGCAAATAATGGCAGTTTTAAATTTTATTAATTTTATTAGAATTTTGAATTTTTCCTTGATTCTTGCTTATATTTGTACAAAGCAGATAAAAAGTTTTACTAACTAGGACATTACCTTTTTATACAATTTGAAGGATCAATCTTGAAACACGCTTGGAGAAAAATTACATATTATGAAAATCTGTATATGTATATATATAATTATACAAGTTTTTTTTATGTTGTTTGATGTCAAGTATAGTTCAATATGATATGCAATGTAGTTTAATGCCATCAATCAATGTAAACAAACACAAAATATTGTTTCATTAAAATTTAGTATAAAAATACACTAGTTATTATTGTTATTTATTAACACTATACATATTTTTCAACACATAATGTAGTTTAACATATTGTTAAATAAATACAAAATTTGTTATACTGCAATTTAGTATAGAAATACACTCATTTTTATTAGTGTTTTTTAAAATTATACATATTTTTTAATATTAGGTATAATTTAATATGTATATTTTTTTTTTTTTAAATGTTGAATTATGTACCATTTTATTAGAATATATTTGGATTACATAATAATCACAAATATTCTATAAATGATACTTCCAGCTTCAGACCAGTCCGATCAAACATTAGATATTATTAAAGCTCTAATCGGGTCGGTCCTAATCCGACAACCCGGACCGAAAATTCGAATTGGTCCAGTCTGGGTTGATGCTTCAACCCGGACCAAAATATTTGGTCCAGTCCGGTCCAGTTTCGGATTATAAATCTAACCCGGACTGAAAAAATGGGTTGGGACTGGACCGGACCGATAAATATTTTCGCAATGGTTTATATTAAAACCGTTGCGATTATTTAATTATTAAATAAAAAAAACGTTGCGTAACATTTTTTTTAATATATTATTATAAAAAAAATGTTTGCGCAACATTTTTCTAATTAATTTAAAGAAAAAACGTTGCGCAACGTTATTCTTAGTATATTTAATTAGAAAAAATGTTTGCGCAACATTTTTCTAATTAATTTAAAGAAAAAACGTTGCGCAACGTTTTTTCTTAGTATATTTAATTAGAAAAAACGTTTGCGCAACGTTTTTCTAATTAATTTAAAGAAAAAACGTTGCGAAACGTTTTTTCTTAGTATATTTAATTAGAAAAAACGTTTGCGCAACGTTTTTCTAATTAATTTAAAGAAAAAATGTTGCGCAACGTTTTTTCTTAGTATATTTAATTAGAAAAAACGTTTGCGCAACGTTTTTCTAATTAATTTAAAGAAAAAACGTTGCGAAACGTTTTTTCTTAGTATATTTAATTAGAAAAAACGTTTGCGCAACGTTTTTCTAATTAATTTAAAGAAAAAATGTTGCGAAACGTTTTTTCTTAGTATATTTAATTAGAAAAAACATTTGCGCAACGTTTTTCTAATTAATTTAAAGAAAAAATGTTGCGAAACGTTTTTTCTAAGTATATTTAATTAGAAAAAACATTTGCGCAACGTTTTTTTATTATAGGACCGGACAGGACCGGACTAAAATAACTGGTCCAGTCCGGTCTGGTCCTGGATTCTCCTTTTAATATAAACCGGACTGGACTGAAATGAACTAATTTTTCGGTCCAGTCCTGGGTTACTCTCCAACCCAGACCAACCCGGACCATTTAGAGCTTTAGATATTATATTACCAATAGAATTAAGAATAAAAGTAATCAAAAAGCAAACCAAAATAACATACTATAAACTATAAATATAAAAAATTAAAATAAAAACAAAACAAAAACCAATACAAAAATAAAAACAACTAAAAACAAAAATAAAAATAAAAATATTAATAAAATAAAATTAATGATAAATAAAATATATGTCTAAAATTATAAATATAATTGAGAACAGAATAAAAATATTATTTTGAAACTATCAATCCAGTAATTTTTTGCTCATGTATAATGTAACCTTATCAACTTTCTTTTTTATTGGAATCCAATCCTCACATATGTATTTCCTTACAAAAATATCCATTGATTTCTTTATTAAGAAGACTGACCTCTGTAATCGATCTATTTTTCTTGTTTGTAGATCTTTAACTTTATTTAAAAGTTTATTTGCATTGTCCTTTACTTTGGATTCTGAAGGTTGATTTGAATTGTCCTTTCCCTTGGGTTCTGAAGTAATTTTATCTGTTCTAGAAATGCCTCTTGTTCACATCTTGGTTTCCATATTAATTCTTTAAATGCTAAAATAAATCTAATTAAAATATTAGCCATAAATATCTGTGCCTCAGTAAGAGATATCTTAAAGTTTTTTTGTAATTTTGTTGTTAAAAAAGTTTCAACTTTCACTTCCAATACCAGCTATTGAAACTTTTGAAATTTTTCTGATTTTGCTGTAACTCCTAATATGTTTTGTAATACTTTTCTAATAAAATCTTCATCTTGACCTCTGATTTGTTTTTATTTCAAACATATAATTATAGATTCTTTTGTTGTAATCTCCAATATTTTTTTCCAAGCCACCTCATACTGTATGTCTGACATTCAAATAAATGATTCCAATTTTTCTTCTTATTACATTTCATAATACATTTCATTTCCTTATAAAGTCTTAGTTTTCTTTATTGCTAAAATAGATCCTAAAGGAAGGATTTTGTGAAATAATTTTGCTATAAAGGTCCATAAATAGTTAAGTTGCATGCTAATATAGTGAAATCCCTTGCAATAATGGAAGATAAGCCAAGTAACTTTCCAATCTATCTGATTATCATTCCCATAATATAATTCCTAATTATTTTTTAATAATGACCATTCAGTAGCTTTATCTGTAGCTAATATTTTCAAAATAAATCTTCTAATATTAACTTCAATAGGATTATCTATAAAAACAGGAAAGTAAGATAATATATTATTAATAAAATCTACATTATTCCTAAATAAATTGTTTTCACATTGGCCTTTCTTTGCTAATTTGTCAGCTATATCATTGCCTGTTATGCCACTATGACCCTTTATTTTAAATTTATAGCTGCTTCTCTGATCAACATAATTATTTTAATAATAATTAAGTTATTAGTCTTTTTAAGCCATGTTCTAGTTGTTGAATTAAAAGCTAAATTAATTGAATTTATAGCGCCTAAGTTGTCTGTATAAATAGTTACATTAGAATTTTCTGGTGCTGTCAACAATGCTAAGAAAATAGCTACTATTTCCACCCTGGTTGATGATGGCCATAAAGATAGACATAAGTATACTGAAAATTCTCCTAATTCATTGTTTGTATAAAATGCTGCTCCTAAATCTACAGTAATATTATCTGTTATATGTGAAAGATCGTTATTACTTATAATTCGATTAGCTAGTGATCTATCTGTATAATATTCAATATTTTTTAATGATTTTAACTGATGTCTTATATTTGTAAGTTCTTGTTTAAGTGTATTTTGTTCTATCCATCGATTAATCTATAGGCCTAAATTGTCTCCATTCAAATTAATTGTAGGTGTTTTTTCCAATTGTTGTATATCAATATTTGCTGAAATATTTTTGGCTCTATTTAGCAATTCCACTATATAATACCAGTTGACATATATGGTTGCACCTGTCGACAATTGAATAAAAATTGGTAATACTAATGCATTATGTTGGGTTATTGTAATTATTTTTGGACATTTCTGTTTCTGGATAATTGCTTTTTGAGGGTTATCTAAACATATTTCCATATTGCAAACTTCTATGATTAAACATTCAATTTTTTCCCCATTTTTCTTTATATGTGTTCTTTTCTTAACAAATCCTATTGAGACTTCATTGTTTTTATCTTTTATTATAACATATAGGTATTTTCGCTTGTCTTCTGATACTGGTTATAATATATGATTACTCAGGAAATTAAATAAGGAATGTCTAAGCATTTCTGGTGCTGATATTCCTTTGATCCATCAGGTTAATAATTGAAACCATTTGGCTATGCATCCTTTGGCTGATAGTCCTGCAATGAAACGATAACACACCCAACTCACACAGGTCGAAATATAATAAATCAGCTATCAATCAGTCATATGACTAATTGGTAACTGATTGGTAACTGATTGGTTGCCGATTCTTTCAATCTGTTACCTATCAGTCATTAATCAGGCAATAATTTCAATCAGTTACCAATTAGTTATATAACTAATTGGTGACCGATTGATGGCCAATTTATTAATCGACAGCCATCAGTTATCAATCAGCTATATCAGATTGATGACTGATTGGTATCCAATGAGATTTAGTAAGCAATCGATCAGCAATCAGTTAGTAATCGGTTAGTAATCGATAAGTTATATTGCCGATTGATAATTATTTCAATCCGTAATTGCGATCTGTATCACCTAATTTGATAATCTTTTTTTTTCTTCATTTTGTTGTATCAGCTTCGGTTCCTTATTGACTTAATTTATGACCGGTTAGTTTCAAAATGAAAGGTTCAAATCTTTTTTTTTTAAATCATTTGTTTTTTAAAAATTTTTAGCTAACTTTTTTTTTTCTTTCCTTCTTTTGTAAGTATTGGTTTTTGATTGATAAGTTTTGAAAGTTCAAAACGAAACTTTCAAATTTTTTTAAATCTTTTTTTTTTAAATTCAATTAATTTCCTTTTTTTCCTTCTTTCATAGGTATCAGCTTCAACCCAAATTTTAAAACGAAACTTTTTTTCTAAATCGTTTTTTTAAAATTTTAATTGATTTTTTTTTCTTTTATAAGTATCAGCTTCGATCAGTAAGTTTCGAAATGAAACTTTTCTTTTAAATCAGTTTTCTTTTTAATAAATTTTAATTGATTTTTATTTTTTTTTCTTTTGCAGGTATCGACCTCAATTTTTTTGGATTGGATTTTTTGATCGGTAAGTTTCAAAATTGTTTTTTTTTAAAAAAATATTTAATTAATTTTTTTTTTCTTTCCTTCTTTTGTAGGTATTGACCTCAGTTCTTTTAGATTGGGCCCTTTGATCGGTAAGTTTCAAAATTGTTTTTTTTTAAAAAAATATATTTAATTAATTTTTTTTTCTTTCCTTCTTTTGTAGGTATCGGTTTTGGTTCTTTTGAATTGGACTCTTTAATCTGTAAGTTTTGAAACGAAACTTTTTTTCTAAATCGTTTTTCTTTTAAAAAATATTTAATTAATTTTTTTTTCTTTCCTTTTTTTATAGGTATCAGCTTCGGTTCTTGTGGATTGGACTCTTTGGTCGGTAGTTCGAAATGAAACTTTCAAATTTTTTTATATTTTTTTTTTTAAAAAAAATTATTTAATTAATTTTCTTTTTTTCCTTCTTTTGCAGATATCGATCTTAATTCTTTGTGAATTGGACTTTTTGATCAGTAAGTTTTTGAAACGAAACTTAAATTGTTTTTTTTAAAAAAATATTTAATTGATTTTTCTTTCTTCTCTTCTTTTGTAGGTATTGACCTCAGTTTTTTGTGGATTTAACTCTGATCAGTATGTTTCGAAAATTTCGTTTCATTTCGAAACCTTCAATTTTAAAAATTATTTTTTTTTTAAAAATATTTGATTGATTTTTCTTTCGTTCCTTCTTTTGTAGGTATCAGCTTCGGTTTTTTGTGTATTGGACTTTTTGATCGGTAAGTTTTCGAAATGAAACTTAAATTGTTTTTTTTTTAAAAAAATATTTAATTAATTTTTTTTTTCTTTTCTTCTTTTGTAGGTATCGATCTCAGTTCTTTTGGATTGAACTCTTTGATCAGTAAGTTTCGAAATTGTTTTTTTTAAAAAAAATATTTAATTAATTTTTTTTTCCTTCTTTTGTAAGTATCAGCTTCAGTTCTTTATGGATTGGACTCTTTGATCAGTAAGTTTCGAAAGCTTTGAAACTTGTTTTTAATTTATTTTTTAAAAATATTTTAATTGATTTTTTTTTTTTTTATATTGTATAAATGGAATAAAAAACTACTACAAGAAATGTAATACTACATTTGACACAAGTATAAGAGTTGACAATTATAATTCAATATATCTTTTTTTGCCTTAATCAAATATACAGTATGTAATTATAATTATTTTTAATAAAATTATTTTATATTAACTGTTAATATTGTAAGGCAAATTTCAAGTAGTCTAACATTAAATTATAAAAGAAATACTTTCAAAGAATTGTGTTATTTACTAATGGTCGGAATTAACTTCTTCTGAGAATGTATATTTACATGAATGTTAATTGTTAAATTCTGTGATTTAATTTATCATTTAATTTAATTTCAAAACAAAAGCTTTTCAAAACTTCTTTTTTAATCTTAATTAATTTCTTTTTCTTTCTTTCTTTTATAGGTATCGGCTTCAGTTACTTGTGGATTGGATCGGTAAAAATAGGACATCCGATTTTTAGTTTGCTTTTTTTTAAATTCTAACATAGTTTTTTTATAAAATAAGATTTATTAAATATATTAAGTGGGTTCCTTAATGTACAGTGAGGGTGTACATTATTAACATACAAACTGGCTATAGTTAACATTAATGCTATCACGTACAAGTGCATAACTCCTGAACTCAGGCTAGTATCGTACACTCTCTTAAGGACTCTATTATCTATTATTAACCAATCAAAATTCGGCCTGATCTTTATGCATGTGATCTGATTTTAATATGCATAAATTACTAAACACACTTTTATTTATTTTTTCAAATACTCTCTTTTCTGCTTTTTCCTTACTACTCTCTTTACAAGTATGTTTTATTTACTTTGTAATATTAACTTTATCTCTTTTTAGTATTACTAACACTATACTTCTTTTTTTTTTTTTTAATTTACTAATGTTGTTTCTTTTTTTTATATTTTACTAATGTTATTTCTTTTTTTTTTAATATATTTTAAAATATTACTAACTTTTCATATTAATATTTTTCCAAATATTACTAATTTCTAATTACAGAACACTCTGAGTGAGATAGTAGTTTTATTTTGTATAATATGAAATATTTTAATTCCATTTGCTCTTTAAAAAAATTGTGTATGTTTTAATAATATTGTAAAATAATTTATATATTATAATAAATTTTATTATGATAATAAAAAGTTATCAACTACCAATAAATGACCATTAAATTAACCATAAAATGACCATCGATTAACCATTAAATTGACCATAAAATGACCATCAAATGACCATTAAATTGACCATTAAATGACCATTGATTGACCATTGATTGACCATTAAATTGACCATAAAATAACCATTAATTGACCATTGATTGACCATAAAATAACCATCAATTGACCATCAATTGACCATTAAATTGACCATAAAATAACCATCAATTGACCATCAAATTGACCATAAAATGACCATCGATTAACAATAAAATTGACAATAATCTGACACCAATCAACTATCAATCAGGTACCTGATTGATAGTTGATTGGTGTCAGATTATGGCAAAAATTGACCATCAATCAGACAGCCTGATTGGTATCAGATTGAACAAATCAGGTACCAATCAGTCATCAATTAGATACCCGATTGATAACCGATTGATACCTGATTTGACATCTTTTGACCTGTGAAAAGTTTTTGAATTAATGTTAGGTATTGCTATCATGGAGTTGAATATAAACACTTTAGAAACGCAAAAAATTGTTAAAAACTGGTTGAATATTAGTGAAAATGATAAAGTAGAAACCGTTTTTGAACCAAGAATTTTTGAATTAAACGAAACAGACATAAGGTATGATGAAAACTATTAATCTAATAATGATAGTGATTTTGATGAATTTGAAAGTGAAATTAAAGAAAATAAAAATAATGATTATGAAAGTGATATTGTTATTGAGTAAAAAAAGTCAAAAAATTTGACTTCGTGTGTATTAATTGATAAAGTAGATGGCAAAATTCAAAAGTGTAAAAATACAGAAAGTTTTCGAATTTTATGGCAATTAGTTGGAGTGTAACAAATAGATAATGAAAAAATTTTGGAAGTAAGTGATTCTTTAGAAAAACTGGGAGTTTGCAGTTATCACTTTAATCATGATCAGAATAAATTACATGATTCAAAAATTAAACAAATATCATCTACAGCAGATAGTATTCTTCATAGGCGGAGGTGTTTATTTTGTGGAAAACTTTTTTACTTTTTTAGCTGAAGAAATGGTTGCCCTAAACACTCCCAAAAATTATTAGGAAAAAATATACAGGTTGCATGTAACGGATAATATACATGTCCTGCTTTTGAAGAATGTAATCCAGTTTGTAATCCTGCCTTCAAAGATATTAAAAATTCACGTTACATCTGTTCAAAATGTTATAAATTGGAAGGCAGTCATTTTCATGTAAAACCTGGTAAAGAAAAAATATCGGTGACCTGTTTTGATCAAAAATATCATGATCAAGATGTTAAAAAAATTATAGATATAATTGCATGTTGGCTATTTTATATTAAAAATAATAAAGATGAGGAATATCAAAATAAGGTTCTTGAAATTTTTTTACCTCTTTATTTTCAATGTTTAAATGAAAATTATTTAAACAAAATAAATACAAATAACTCAAATACAACACAACCGATTGCCACATTTCATTATTCCTTAATACTATCAAAACTCCCTACTTTTTTTATAGTTCATACATTAACACGCTTGAATCAGATTCCAATTTACCCTAATAAAAAAGAATTAGAAGAAGAAGATTTTGAGAGACTTGGAGAAATAGCTGGAAATAAATTATGGCAATAGGACCCCGAATATCTATAATACAACTCACATTTGGATTTGCGTAGAGTTTATATGAGAACGTATTTTAAACCCATAAATTGAGTTTGCGTAGATCGGTCAATTTTTGGGCAACTTACATATTACGTTTGCGTAGAGTTTATAAATATATGAGATTTATTTTTAAAAAATAAATAATTATTATATACCAGAATTTTATAATTTTTTTTAATTACGATTTCGATAAAAATCTATTGTATGTGACGGGTGATCAAATTAGATCGAATTATCATTTATCGATCTTTTTTTTTGAAAATTTATACCGAAATTTATTATTTGTTTTTATTTTATTTTATTTTTCTATTTTTTTCGGTTTCTAAAACCGAAATTTATTTTTTTTATTTATTTTTTTTTGGTTTTTTAAACCGAATGTTAATTTTTTTTTATATTTTTTTTAGTTTCTAAAACCAAAATATAATTTTTTTTTTATTTTTTTTCAGTTTTTTAAACCAGAATTTATTTTTATTTTATTTCTTTTTCGGTTTTTAAAACCAATTTTATTTTATTTTTTTTATTTCTTTTTCAGTTTTTTAAAACCGATTTATTTTTTTTTACTTCTTTTTCAGTTTTTAAAACTGATTTTATTTTTTTTTTATTTCTTTTTCAGTTTTTAAAACTGATTTTATTTTTTTTTCAGTTTTAAAAACATTTTTTTACTTTTTAAAAACCCGTTTTTTTTTAACTTTAAAGATTCCAGTCGGACTGTAACTTGAAAGTGAAACGGTAAGTGTTTATAAATGGTGAGTGGGTGAGTAGGTTATGATAAATATGTAAGAATGCTACTAACATTCTTTACTTTGTAGGTTTAGGACTGAAACTTGGAATTTTAAGATAGGTAAGTGTTTTAAAAGGAGGAGAGAATTGATTTTAATTAATTTTTCTTGTATAAAAACGTTCACTAACATTCTTACTTTTGTAGGTTTTGGACTGAAACTTAATATTAAAGACAGGTGGATAGTGTTTTTAAAAAAAAGAGTGTGCTGAATTTTTTTTTTTATATGTAAGACCATTACTAATATTTTTTTGGCTTTTCTTTTATAGGTTTCAGACTGAAACTTGGAATTCAAAACAGGTAAATGTTTTTAAAGGAAAAAGAAAGTGGACTTTAGATTTTTTTTTATATAGCTAACATTCTTTAACATCTTTTTTTGTAGGTAAATGTTTGGAAGAAAGAAGCGGGATTTGGTTATTATACAAGAATGTTTGCTACTTTACTAACATTTTTTATTATCTCTTTTCTTAGATTTTAGACTAGAGCTTGGAGTTGGAACTTAATATTATACTAGTAGAAACAGAATTTCGAATATAAATAAAAGAAAATTTTTATTGACAATAAAAACTATAAATTGTAATTTCTGCAAATAAATATGTTAAAAATAATACATTTTATTATTTAATTGCATACGATATAACAGTAATTAAAATTAAAATATAAAAAATGTTAAATTGGCTACAAAAAAAAATTTTTTTTTAACTAAAATTTGAGTTTGCGTAGCGTTACTATGAAAAAAAAGTTGCGTAAAGTTAATAGTAAACGCATGCTGATCATTTGTAAGTTATATTAGTATTGTTCGGGGTCCTATGGCAATCATATGAATACTTAAAAACTAATCAATATTACCTTCAATCACCAACTAGTATTGCTGAATATATTGACGCATTTCCTAAATTTTTAAAAGTATTCTTTGAAAAAATGTTTTTAAAATTAGAGGCAAAAAAAATAATTCATTCCAACCGAAAAAAATTACTACAAAACAAACCTTTAAAACAATCTGATCCTCAAAAAATAAACAAACCCATTTCCTTTTTACTTTCAGTATTAGTAGGATATGCATTTCCTTACTTTGACCTTTGGCTTCCTACTAGTATATTAACATCTTTATGTAGAAGACTAAAATTGATTTCTTCACTCCATTCATTATTAATAAAATGTTCAATTATTGGACATACAAATCGTCATGAACGCCAGTTGGAAAAGACTAGAATGCAAAATATTGATCCTACAAAACGATAATAAAAGGAAATAATATATTTAACCTGACTGTTATTGATAACATAGACTTCAAAGAAGTAAGTTTTGGATTTAATAATATATATGATGTAACATGTGGACCCTTCCATGCAACTTTAAGAATGGTATTTCAATCAACATTGCCCATATCTATTAATGAAATGCCTAAAGAAATTAGAGAATTAAATGCTGATACTCCTCTTTTTGGAATGACACTAGGAATGCGTGTAATGCAAAATAAAGTTGATAGTATTTTTGAAAGATTACTAAATTTTAAGATGAGTAAAAGTGAAAATCTAAGTTATAATAAAAACTTGGATGTTGAAATAATTGAAAAAGAAATTATTACTCAATGTGATTTTGGTTGTTTGATTCCACCTCCTAATGTAGTTATTTTAACTCCTACCGGCTCTCCAAATGATGATAATAAAATTTTTTGTATTACACAAATGTATAAAGAAGAATTTTCATTGAATGATAATAAGTATCTAGATATTTGTGCAGATGTGGCTATATTCAGAAGGTTGATTAAATCACATGCTCGATGGAAAAAAATAAGACCTATATTAGGTCAATGGCACACTTCGAAAAACATGCTTAATGTTATACTTACTATTTTTTTAAGCTATGGGATCTTTTATTTAGCTACAGCAATTGGTATTTGATTTTTAGACAAACTTTAGGCTATTGTTGACTATAGATCAACAAGAAGAATATTGGAATTGGTATGGGTTGCTACTGGAATAGCAATTCACATTTATGCAAAAATAAAGAATATCGGTATTGAAGAAATTCTAACTGGACCAACAGATCAAAATATATGTATCAAAGCTTGGTATTTCTATTATCAATATTTTACAATATGGAAAAGTCATCTTATTGGTATATGTATTGGTAACTATAACTTGCAACGTAATAGTTTAACAGCCTTTGCACCTCTTTTTCCTGTCACAGGAAAAAATAATTATACAACTTCAGTAGTTCATTTTCTATCCATTCTTAAGAAATATCTTAATTTAGAAAGAAAATTCCAATATTGTGCTTCTATTAATCTGGCAAGAAAAGGTCATTATCCAGCATTTGATGAAGCTTTGAAGACATATGGCATTGGATATATTAAACAAAATATAATTGGAAATATTATTGATCAAGAAAATTTAAATCTTCAAATCTGAACCACTCAGGAAGAAAAAGAAAGAATTGATACATTATTAAACGAATTTTTAGATCCATATAATTATGATAGAAAAGATTGTAAGGTAAATAATCGAATTGATCCTCTATGGAAATTAATAGAAAATTTAGTAAAAGTATTTCAAATGGATAATTATATAGAACATGAACTTTTTATGAAAAACCCACCTTCACAATTAACTCCAGAAGGATTAGTAAAATTAAATAATGCATATAAAGAAGAGTTAAAAAGAATAAAAGAAATATATCATCAGGAAGTTATTAAAACTGAACGGATAAACACAAAGGGAAGACACCATTTAGAAATAGTTAAAACAGATATAAAATCAATGAAACCTTCACAAAAAAGAAAACTCTTGAAGGAAATAATAAAAACACACCTTGCTCTACATCTCAATTAAGCAATAAAAATCTTCAACAATTTTCTCTTAAAAATTCAAATGGATAATCAAACACTTCAAATATTGAAAATCCTGTTTCTAAACGTCAAAGAGTAATTACAACAGACAAAGAAAAAGAAATATTAAATCCTTTGTTGCTTAAAAATACAATGCCAACAAAAGAGAAAATTAATAATATCCTAAAAAATTTATTATCTGCATGGGATAATCAAAGAGTTAAACGTTATTATAACAATAATAAGATAACTAAAAAAAAATTAAATGACAACAATTAAATAAACTCATAAACATTATCTTTTTGAATTATATACAATGCACACAGTTTAAAGCCAGGTAATTTCAAAGGAAAACTTGAAATGAATAGAAAAAAAATTTTTTATATTAAATAAAAAATTTAAACCTGCTATTTGATAGAATATTACTTTGTAATCCCTATGAAAAGTTTTTATACTTAAAATATACTTAAAATAAGTATCAATTTTAATTCGTAATATACTTATAATATACTTAAAATATGCCTAAAATACTTTCAAAATATACTTTTAATATACTTGTTTTTTGTTCAAGTACTTAAATTATACTTAAAGTATACTTAAACTAGAATTTAAGTACAATATAAGTGTATTTTTTACATATTTAAAATATTCTTAAAATATGCTTAAATTAAAATTTAAGTACAATATAAGTATATTTTTTTAATCTTTAAACCGCAATCTGAATATACCCTCCAAAAAAGAGAAATGTACAACTTAAATTTGCTCGAGATATAAAAAAGCAGAAGTGCTTGTTAGTTGAACAAACTGAACAGAATATTTCATTAAAGGATAGTAAAAATAGTAAAGATAATAAAGAAAATGAACAGTTAACGGATAGTGAATTAGAGGATATTGTATGGAATGATGAGGAGTTTGAAGATAAACTTAACAAACTCTCTCCAACAGCTTTTGAAACAATATTAACTGCTGCTAAAAAACCAGGACCCCAGACATCACATATATAACTCATAACTGATCTGCATAAATTTAAGTACTTTTTGCTCCTGCTAAAATAGACCTAATTTGCTAAAAATCAAATTATCACATTTCAAATCTATACTAATTTACTAAAACCCAAAATATGAGTTAATAATCTTTTCTTTTATTATCAATAAAAAAATAAATAATTAATATAAATTAAACTGCCAATTTTTATAATTAAAATATGTAGATTATAGATAAAATAATAATTAATAAAAATAATAAATTAAATAAATAATTATTAAAAAATAAAATGTTGTGAAACTAAACGGACGGTTTTTGGCCCACATTATGCTTAATTTTGGCCGGAATTATACTTAATTTTGGCCAAAATATAACCCAGACCCTGAACTAATATTTTTAAAAAATATTATTTATAAAGTTAAAAAAAAAAGGATAAGTTAAATTTAAAAAAAAGTACCAATTTGCTCAAATATAAAATATGACTTTTAAAATCAATACAATTTGCTAAAACTCATAATTATGACTATTAATTAATTTTCAATCAATTTGCTCTATCTAAAATTATGAGTTTAACCTAATTTTGATTGAATTTACTAAAACTCAAATGTAAGTTATATATGTGATGTCCGGGATCCTAAAAAACCTAATATTTTTCACGCAGTTCAGCCTATTTCTTATACTGGAAATTCATTAAAAACATAACGCCGAAAAAGAGCAGAACACAAGATTGCTGCGCAAGGCACAAACCCGGTAACCTCTTTTTTTAAAAAAGATAAAATTCCAGAAATTTTAAAGCCTAATGATAATGATTCTGAAAATCAAACTGCAAATTTAGATTTTGAATCAATTTTATTAAATTTAAAAGCTCTTCTTAATGATAAAACTCTTTCAATTCAAAGCAGAAATCGGTTACAGCTCATTTTTCAATTTATTAATTTACGTAAAATGGGATATAAAACAATGAATACAAGTTGAATTATTGCTAAAAGTATTAGAAAAGGAAAATATCAAGTAGAGTTAATTCGTGTTTAAACAAAGAATTTTTTGAAAAATAAAACAATTCCAACATCTAAACGTAGTAAATATCAAAAAATTAAAAGCCTTTTATGGAATGAAAATGTGAATAAAATGATTTTAAAATATCTGTGAAGTAAAGGATGTGAAGTAATAATTAAAGACTTCAAAATTTATGTGGAAGAAACTGTTTTTCCAGCAATTGGAATTGAACAAAAAAAAACTGCGCATATTTGGCTTAATAAACTTGGCTGGTTTTTCCAAATTAGTAAAAAAAATATTTATTATGATGGACATGAATGTTCAGATATTATTGCTTACTGAGAAAATTTTTTATTGGAAATGAAAGCACTTGAAAAATTAATGCCAAAACCGATGGATGAAGATATTACAGTAATTATTGAACCATAAATCCTAATGAAAAAAAGCATATTTTGGTAACGCATAATGAATCTGTATTTTATGCAAATGATGGGAAAAAAATATATTGGGGCTCTAAAGATCATACTCTTTTAAGAAAAAAGGAAAATGGATTAAGTCTTCATATCAGTGACTTTTTAACTGAGATTGATAATCGTTTAAAATTTAAAGATGAAGAAGCATGTGTTATAATGAAACCTGATAATAACTATGATGGATGATGAACAAACAAAGATTTAGTTAAACAGGGATGTTACATTAATTTATTTTATTCTTTTTTTTGAAAATTTAGCATATTTTATTATTTTTAATAGACAATATTATTTTATATGCAATAGATAGTGAAAAAAGCAATTCCTATTTTTGAGCAAAAATATCCTGATTCTATAGGTGTATTTGCATTTGATAATGCTACAAGTCATGCTGCCTATGCACCTGATGCTTTGATTGTACATCATATGAATCTTAATCCGGATGGTAAAAAAAAGTTTAAAAATGGATTCAAATCTGATGGGGAAATTCAATCAATGCATCTTTCAGATGGGCGTCCAAAAGGTATCAAATTAGTGTTAGAAGAGAAAGGATTATGGAAAAAAGAGTTAAAAAGAATTTGTTCTGAATGCAAAATTCATTCACCCACAAAAAATGATTGCTGTGCTGTTAGAATTCTCTCTCTTCAACCTGACTTTGCCGCACAAAGACCCTTAATTCAAGAAATTATTGAAGATCGAGGTCATAAGATTATTTTTTACCCAAAATTCCATTGTGAATTAAATTTTATTGAACAATTTTGGGGTGCAGCAAAATAATTTACACGAAATAATTGTGATTATACTTTTAAAGAATTGGAGAAAACGGTTCCTGATGCTTTAAATTCAGTACCACTAATACAAATTCAAAAATATGCTAGGCGAAGTTGGAGATTTATGGATGCATATAAGAAAGGATTAAAGGGAATAGAAGTTTTATTTATATGCAGTTAAAAAATATAAATCTCACAGACGTATTCCAAATAATATATAATTAACGTATAAATAACAATATTAATAAATTTATAATATGTAATAAGTCACATGATTTATATATCAAATCATATGATATCTATATGGTTGAAAATTTGGCCACTTTTTTGCATATTACCTAGCTTTAAACTGTGCGCATTATATAAATCAATAATTTAACTTTACGTAAAAACTGTTAAGTTAACTGCTTTTTATGGCTTATGTTTATCAAAAGAGCATATTTTATTTATCTAATGCAATCTTATAAAACCTCAGCTTTAGAAGGATCTTGAACAAATGCTCCAAAAATTTGATAAACTTCGCATTTCATTTATTTTTTTTTTAATAAGAATTTCTTAAAAAAAATTGTACAGCTCGAGCACCCTAGTCACATCAAGTTTTAAAGCCTATTTTTAAATGAGCATAAAGTTCAAAAAATTAAATATTTTTTAAAATACTCTTCATATTTTAATAGATTAGATTAAAGGCTACAAAATTATAATTTAGTTTTTCTAATTGGATTAATATATAAAAAGTTATGTGCATTTTATTTTAGCAAAAAATTTATATGTTCATATATAAAATATTCTGAATTTGGCCATTACATTTTTGATATAAATTTAAATTTCAATGCTTTTTAATGTAAAAATTCACA